ATGTGTGTGTGTGTGTGTGTGTGTGTGTGTGTGTGTGTGTGTGTGTGTGTATATATAAATGTGTGTGTATGTGTGTGTGTGTGTGTATCCATGTGTGTGTGTGTATCCGTGTGTGTATCCGTGTGTGTGTGTGTATCCGTGTCCCCTTTTGCCCTCTACCGGTCTCAGCAGTGATGGAGATGTGGTTCTGCTGTATGTTCTCAGCACTGATTTTCAGACTGAAGGCCTGTCCCCTGCGGATGATCAGACGCTCCTGTGTGATCTCGTGTGTGTGATGATCGGTGTTGTTCTTCACACACTCCAGATCCACTCTCACACCTGCAGGAAACACATACTTAATTCACTCAAACTGGTTTATCAGGATTTCAGAGCATCTACAATAATAGAGCTGTAATATCTCAGTGACAATCACACACACACACACACACACACACACACACACACACAGACAGACAGAATGCCAGAACTCTTCATTCATCGCTGACGCCTCTTCAGATCAGGTGTGGCTCTTCTGTTGAACATCACTCACACTTTCCTCTGAATGATGATGATGTCTGATGAGCTGAGCCCTGAACACTGACGGTGTGAACCACTTTACTTGACGGTGTGAACCACAGACGCTATTGTTTTTATCTACACTAGATGTAGTTAAGTGTTCAGCTGTGAAACTAAACTCACAGATGATTCTCTTGTACTAACACAAGCACAAATAAACTGAATTTATCAACATATTAGTCAAACTCATCGAGAACAAGCTTAACAGAAACCCAGAGAACTAAAAAAAAGAGTTCTGTCGGCTGTAGTTTAACTCGTCTTATTCTCATCGACACTTAACTAGCCTCCTGTGCTGTTTAACTAGTCTCATCTACAGTTAACTAGTTTCCTTTACAGCTAACTGGTCTCCTCTGCAGTTAACCATTCTCCTCTAGAGTTTATCTATTCTTATCTTCAATGTAACTAGTCTTCTCTACAGTTTAACTAGTCTCCTGTACAGTTTAACTAATCTACAGTTTAACTAGTGTCATTTACAGTTACCCAGTCCTCTCTGGAGTTTAACTAGTCTCCTGTACAGTTTGACTAGTCTTCTCTACAGTTTAACTAGTCTCCTGTACAGTTTAACTAATCTACAGTTTAACTAGTGTCCTTTACAGTTACCCAATCCTCTCTGGAGTTTAACTAGTCTTCTCTAAAATGTAACCAGTCTTCTCTGCAGTTTAACTAGTCTCCTGTACAGTTTTACTAATATACAGTTTAACTAGTCTCCTTTACAGTTAACCAGTCTTCTCTGGAGTTTAACCAGTCTTCTCTACAATGTAACTAGTCTTCTCTACAGTTTAACTAATCTCATCTACTGTTAACTAGTCTCCTCTACAGTTACCCAGTCTCCTCTAGAGTTTAACTAGTGTTCTCTACAGTTTAACTAGTCTCCTGTACAGTTTATCTAATCTACAGTTTAACTAGTGTCCTTTGCAGTTAACCAGTCTTCTCTGGAGTTTAATTAGACTTCCCTACAATATAACTAGTCTTCTCTACATTTAACTTGTCTCTTTTACAGATTTACTTGTCTCCTCTGTGGTTTAACTAGTTTACTCTACAGATTAACTAGAGTCATCTGCAGTTACCTAATCTCATTTACAGATTAACTAGTCTCATCTACAGTTTAACTAGTGTTCTCAGTTTAACTAATCTCATGTGCTGTTTAACTAGTCTTCTGTACAGTAAACTAGTCTCTCCTGCACATGTGTAACTAGTCTCTTTTACAGTTTAACTAGTTTCCTCTGCAGATTAACTTGTCAGTTTAACTACTCTCCTCTACAGTTGAACTAGTTTCCTGTACAGTTGACTAGTCTCCTAGTCCCTTCCTCAGTTTAACTAGTCTTCTCTACAGTTGAACTAATCTACAGTTAACTAGTCTCCTCAGTGTAACTAGTCTCCTGTGCAGTAGTCTAGTGTAGACTGGACTCACCCTGGTCTGGTGTGTTGGAGCTGCTGCTGCTGCACATGATTTCTCCTCACTTGATCTGTTGGTGTGTGAGAGTGTGTGAGAAGTGCTTTATAAGAGCCCTTGCGTGTGTGTGTGTTTGTGTGTGTGTGTGTGTGTGTGTGTGTGTGTGTGTGTGTGCGTGCGTATGGGTGTGTCCACTGGTTTTGAAACATGTCTCATGTCATCATCTTCTTCATCATCAGTCAGCGTGTGAATGTTGATGATGTTATCAGCAGATTTCAGACTGAAGATCGGGGTCTTTTTGATTATTACACACCCTAACAATGCCCACTGCAGGGGACGAGCGGCAGAGTAGGGGACACTTTAGTTTAAGTCACAAATCACACTATTAAGGGTTAGTTCACACAAAAGTGAAAGTGGCTATTCTCTCTCCCAATAGTTTGAAAACCTCAGAGTTTTTTCTGCAGAGATGTTGAACACAAAAGAAGATATTTTGAAGAATGCTGAAAACCTGTAACCACTGACTTCCATAGTATTTGTTTATTCAGCTATGGAAGTTAATGGTTCCAGCATTCTTCAGAATATCTTCTTTTGTGTTCAACATAAGAAAGAAGCTCATTAATGTTTGTAAAGAGTAAAGGCTGAGTAAATGATGACAGATTTTTGAGTTTTTGGGTGAACTGACCCTTAAACTACTGGCTTATTACCTGTCTATTAATAAGATATTAACTGTTTATTAGCAGCTGTGATCTTAGTTTATATTAATGAACCTACACAAAACCAAAACCCAACTACTACCTTACTAACTATTCATTATGTTGCATTTTTTGTGATGGTTATATTGAGTTTTACAGTACAGTAACA